CATGTGTACTCTATGCGATACTCAGCCATAGAAACACAAGATCCTGGCATTTGATAGAAAGTGGTCGAATATGGAAGAGTTTTCACTGAGTGAAGCAAGCCAGGCTATGAAAGAAAGATATTGTATGTCTCCAGTTAATATATACCGACTGTCTGCTCTCCATGGTAGAGACTGAAAGACTGGAGGGCATAAAAGCAGGGAAAATAGTTACAGACACTAGAAACAGTGTGTAAGGAGAGTGGGAGAAGGCAAGAGTATAGGGAAGGAAATCAGGGAGAAAAAAGACAAAATAGGAAAGACAGTTGTGGGACACAGAAATGGTTTATTACCTATTGATGATAATGTGTATAGTATTCTCTTTTTAATTAAATTTAATTTATTTATTATCATCATAACCTTGTTTATATTACATTGATCTGCATATAACTTTACAGTGTATTACATTGGTTTCAGATTAATAGACTGAAAAAGAGTGGCATGTGTGCTCTATGCAATACTATTCAGCCATAAAAACACAAGATCCTGGCATTTGATAGAAAGAGGTTGAATATGGAAGAATTTTCACTGAATGAAGCAAGCCAGGCTATACAAGAAAGATATTGTATGTCTCCACTTAATATATACCAACTATCTGCTCTCCATGGTAGAGACTGAAAGATTGGAGGGCATAAAAGCAGGGAAAATAGTTACAGACACTAGAAACAGTGTGCAAGGAGAGTGGGAGAAGGCAAGAGTATAGGGAAGGAAGAGTGGGAGAAGGTAAGAGTATAGGGAAGGAAATCAGGGAGAAAAAATAGAGAGGCAAGACATCTGTGGGACACAGAAATGGTGTATTACCTGTTGATGATAATGTGTATAGTATTTTCAACTAGACTGGTCTGAGGTGTATTTCATGTTGGGTAAATTCTGTTTACAATCCAAATGATGTATTGCCATTGAATGTTTAAAAAATAATAATAAGACGAATAAAAATTAAATTAACTTTCAAAAATTAAGTCTAGAGAACAATGAAAAAAAAAAAAGACATGAGGTACAGACACTTGTCACTTAATGATTGAGGGTTGGGTTCCATCCCTATGGCTAATTGTTAAGAGAGCTGTGTTAAGCAAATTGATAAGCACGTTTAAAGTAGATGTCTTATGGTGTGCCATGACACCGTAGGGTATGTATTTTTAAACCCCTTTGATGTGACATCATACTAGAATAAAATTCTATCCATTAAAAAAGCATATATTAGATAAGCACCAAAAAGTGACAAGACACATCCCATCAATAATATAAATCTGGTATAATTGTTTTCATTTATTCTGAATATTTCTATGATGCACAATAAAGTACAAATTTAAAAACAAAATATGTAGGGACCAGCAGTTAGCGTAATGGCTATGTCGCTGGACTCCCATGTAGCTGATCACAGTTTGAGTCCCAGACCTGGTAGCTTAAACTCACCAGGCACATGTGCGTGCGTGCCCAAGATCTCGAGAGGAGAATTGAGGAGAAGGGATTGTGGCGTGGCCATCCCCCCTAGGGGGTGATTTCTCACTTTCTGTCTCTCTCTCTCTCTCTCTGTCTTTCTGGCAAGTGCACGTGCTCTATAGGGGAAAACCTCTAAAACAAAAAAAGCAAGCAAACAAAAAAAAAAACAAAATATGTAGTCTTGGGTGACTGTGAACACTTCATGTAATGAATAATAACCAATTGTGGTAACTAGACAGAGACTGAGAAGGGGATTCCTGATACACACAGGTTGATTGAGAAAAACCAAAAAGGTGTTGGGGCCAGCGGATGGCATGGTGGTTAAGGTGCTGGATCCCCCATGACTGACTCCATGGTTCAAGTCCCAGACCCAGGTGCTTGAAAATCACACTAGGTGCATGTGAGTGCATGTGTAAAATCCCAAGATTTTATATATATTTTATATATTCAATTGATCTAAAAGGAAGCAGAAAGGAAGATTTAAAAGATATACTAATGGAACAAATATAAAAGGAAGATAGCAGATTGGTAGAAAGACATGAATTCCAGTGTCCTATGTCACTACATATCTCAGTATCTCAACACAAAGATAAAGTTCAGATTTCTTATAGCCTGAGTGTGATGAAGAAATCAGGTGTATCACAGTGGTTTAAATATGGTAGGTCTTCAATATCTAGTTGATCAATGAATAACTGGATGAAATTATCAGGTAGAGTTATAATCACAAAATTACAAAAGGAGTCCCTGAAATTGGCTCTAATACAGATATAAACCTAGTCATATAGGCAAGACTTCTCTCTCCTCACACTCACTTGACCAGGTCCTCTCTTCTGTCCTCAGAGAAAATACAAGATGACCCATTCTTGCAGGAATGGCCTTGTGAGTTGCCTCAGACAGACAGGCATTCCTCGTGGGTATTTCTAGTTAATTGTTATGGTCTTAGTTTTTCTACTCTTTCAGGTATCTTCTTCATACTCAGCCAAAATTTGATTTTATCTGAAACTGGAGAGGTTATCATCCCCTTTTACAACCTTGAGTTTGAGTGTCCACTGGCCACACCACCTTCTTTTTTTAGGGGGGAGGGGGGAGAAGTTTTTCGCTATAGGGCACGTGTGCTCGCCAGACAGACAGAGAGAGACATAAAGACAGAAAGCAAGAAATCACCCCCCAGAGGGGATGGTCACTCTGCAATCCCTTCTCCTCCATTCTCCTCTCGGGATCTTGGGCACGCATGCACATGCACCCAACCCAGTGTGTTTTAAGCCACCGGGTCCGGGACACGAACCGCGGTCGACTACGCGGGAGTCCAGTGACATAGCCATTACACTAACTGCTTGTTCCCCACACCACCTTCTTACAAACAAAGCAATTCCAATCACTTTTGTCTCAGAGTATCTTAACATAATCTAAACATCGCCTAGACTTCTAAAGGAAAGGAATTCTGGTTGATTAAGGAAGAAAATCCTGTTTATGGTAAACTGGATAAGGAGAAAAATCATTTTGGAGGAGAATATTCAACTAAATTCTTTGCTACTTCAAGTCAAGTTCTATGATAGCTCAAGGTACCAGACAGGGCAGGATGGAGACAGGGCCATTTCAAAAGTGAGTGCTAGAGCTCCCTGCTTCTGTTCCAGCCTTTCTTCTTCTGCCTCTTCTGAACTATCAAGTTCAGAAGAATTATTAACTATGAATAGCTGGCTTGTAAGTGCCGAGTGCTCTACATAATCTCTACTCCTATTAATACCCCTATTACACAGGTTCAGAGACTAAATTAAGAAAAGAGCCAGCTGGTGATGTGGTCATTAAGGCAGCTGGATCCACATGTGTCATCTGAGCACCTGAGTGTGCCCAAAATCCTGAAAGGTAGGATTGCGGCACGACCATCCCCATGCGGGGTGCTTTCTCACTTTCCAACACCTTCTTTCTGATGCTCTCCAGGGAACGTGCCTGACCTCTGGCAAGAAAGAAGAAAGAGAAAGAAAGAAACCTGCCCAAGGTCAGACATTTGCTGAAAGGCAGAGGTAGGATCATACCAGGGGCTCTCTGACATTCCCTATGACACCATGATCTTTTTAAAGGTTCTCTGGGAACCCAAGAAAGCCAGGGGACAACAATCCTGTGAACGAGACTTGGCAGGAGCAAGGGCCAGCAGGTAACCCTGCACCTGACTAGAAGGAAGGAAACCATGAACACGTACTAGGATAGGCACAGTACTAGGCACTTTAACTCATTTACCGATTAATGAATGGAATAAATAGTTAATTCATTTATTCCTATCATTTATTTTTAATTCTTTTTTATATTTAATTTTTTTGGAGAGGTTTTTTCTATAGGGCGCATGTGCTTGCCAGAAAGACAGAGAGAGACAGAGAGATAGAAAGCGAGAAATCACCCCCCGGGGGGATGGCCACGCCGCAATCCCTTCTCCTCTATTCTGCTCTTGATATCTTGGGCACGCACGCACACGTGCCCGGCGTGAGTTTAAGCCACTGCATCTGGGACTCGAACTGCAGTCAACTACATGGGAGATGCTTTAACTTCCCTTTGCATATAAAGAAACTGAGGCTTAGAGAAGTAAGCAAAGTGTCCAAAGCCACATAGTTAATAAAAAAGACAGAAAACTCTATAACTCTCCGGCTTGAAAGACAGGATCCCTACTTATTGCACCTTGTTTTAGACCCTCACTTTTGGAAAGAGTATGGAGAAATTAATCAGAAGGGACAAGAAAACTATGCTCAGATAGATGCTAGGAGTAGAGACAACAGTATGGGGGTCAAATCTAAGATCAGAACAAGAAGCCAGGTCACCATGGGACCCAGAAGGCTTTGCCTGGTCTCTGGTCCTGCTGAGGCAGAC